CAGCTGGAGAGCGCGCGGGTTGCAGTGGCCCATCCTCCGATGCCACAAGTGCGCGTCGACCTTGGTGCGAAACAGTTTCGCGGATCCGTCCAGGCTCACGTCGTCGACGATGATATTGACCACGTACATCCGCGGTATTTCTTTCGAGATGGGAAACGCGTGCTGACCGCCGCGAAGAGCTGGCGGGGTAGACATCAGATCACACAGCACCCCCTTTTCTTCCAAAGCTCCAACCGAAAATATGTTTGCTCCTAGGTCCGGTACCAGGAGAACTTCCAGCGACACTGGGATTGTTTCGTTCTTATCGTTCCGTAGGCCAAATTTTAGCTTGCCTTTCTGGGTTGCGTTGGACTGGCCACAGGACCCTTCGACTTGAACGTTGCAGGCGTACCTCTCGCCTACGTGCGTTGCGACAGGGGATTCGGCCCAAACCATGTGGCTTGATGCCGCGGTGTCTATGAACACTGTCGTACTTTCAAGGGACTTGACCTGTTCCTTGACTTGAAAAACGCTGGTGAATGCAACGGTCTCCGTTGCACCAGGGGCTTCCTCCACCTGAACGTGCACGGCAGCGGGCTCATCGTCCGTCACCACTCCAGGCGTCTTCAGCGCCTGCACGTCACCAACAGCGTCAGCGCGCTCCTCAGGCGGCGCCACAGCAAGCGCTTCTAGCACCTGCGTATCTCCAGCAGCGCAGGCCTTGGGCTGCGCCACAGCAGGCGCCTCCAGTACCTGCGGATATCCAGCAGCGCGCTCCTCGGGCTTCGCCGCAGCAGGCGCCTCCAGCACCTGCGTATATCCAGCAGCGCGCTCCTCGGGCTTCGCCGCAGCAGGGACTTCTGGCACCTGCGGGTATTCAGCGACGCGCTTCTCTGCTTGCGTCGCGGCGGGCACTTCTTGCACCCGCGGGCAGTCATCGATTATAATTGAGAAGTCTTCTAGACCCTTGCTACCTCCCCGGACCTGCGTGAACCATGCCTGAGTGGTGGTGGATTCCTGCGATACGTTCGCCTGTTCTTTGGCGTCCTCCGCCTCATTCGAGAGGCGAAGAGGGCAGTTTTGCCACTGGTGCTCGGTCGAATTGTGGCAGTACCTGCAGCGTCTCTTGCGGTCTTGGCCATTCTGCTGACCCCGTCCTCGACCTCCACCGGAGTTTTGGTTGCCGCGATCTTTTCCGCGTGCACCTTGGGCGCTTCTAGCGCCACGTCCTCCTGATGGGTTCCCGTTCGAGTTGGTTCCACCGCTGCTGCTGTTGCCGTTCGAGCTGTTGTTCCCGTCCGCGTTCCTGCCGCCATTTCCTCGGCGGTTGCGTCCACGTCCACCGTGTTTACGGAACTCGCGTGCTCCTCCATGCACGGTCGTGTTGAGCGCACGGCCGTGGCTTCCAGAGCCGTCGTCATTGGTAGTATCCTTGCCCCTGATCTGCAGAGAGTGGAAAGCAGTGGCTCGGTGTGCCACACGTTCAAAATCCAAGTTCAAATCGGAGTTGTCGTCTCGCGACTGCTCGCACACCAGCGCAGCTTTGAATTGTCCGTATTGCTGGTCAGGTAGCGCGTTCAAGAAGGTGTGGGTTTTGCGAGTCGACACGACCTTGTCACCAAGCGCTTCGAGCTCTGCGGAAATGCGGCGCAACTCTTGGATTGCGCGCGCGGGGTCGTATTTGTCGGCGGCTGTGACGGACAGGGCTCCTAGCTGTTGCTGCAGCTCTTGCATCCTAAACGCTCCAGTCTTTCGGTACTTTGCTTCCAGGGCGAGAAATGCAGCACGTCCGTCACCCCACTCCTCAGGATAAACGGCGTTGAAGGACCCTACGACTAGAGACGCAGCACTCTGAAATCCCTCGGCGCACTCCGACGTCGCTAAATCAAGCCGCGTGAACAGCCTACCGTTCTTTTGTTTGAAATCACGCTTCTTGGTCTCGTACGCCGCGACAGCATCCGCCGTGCCATCCACCGGAGCTTCCGGAGCCTTCTCCGTCCCAGACATAACCTCGCCCAGGCCGGTTTCGTACATGATCGAGCGGAACAAACTCGACCATCTGTGGTACTCATTAGGATTTCCGTTGAACGGGACGTATCCTTGCTTGAAGATGTTTGCAGACGACGTAGACATGATGACTCGATGTGATTACCCACCAAACGCGAGGCTCACAACCTGACAGCAGTTCAGCAGTTGTCTGGGCTGCCGTGTGCTGCTGTGTAGTTGGCAGTAGTGGCGCAGTTTGGGTAGGTAAACACAGAGTGATTCATTAACATACAAAGCGACCAAGCCTGCCTTCACCTGACGGTTACAGACTTGAAGTCACGCCTTCACAATACTGCACAAAACCCATGCAGTAGAATAGAGTCAGTTCTTGCACTACAATACTCCTGACACTTCTCGGTTACGCGAACGACGCATTGGGGCCCATCCATATCACACATTCGTCGGCGCTTAGGCGCTACCGGCGGAAATGAGGGTCCCGGCGCTTTGGGGTGGGTAAAAACACCTATCTGTGGGCGTGTGCGTTTGGGTATACCCCAAACAATATACCAAATACACATGGAATTAAGAAAGGTGCACACCCGCCGGGCTGGCTTTGTTACAATAATAGTTACCGAAGGGGATGTTTCTATGAAGTCTAAGTACGAGACCCTCAGACCCGCGGAGAGACATGTAAGTTCCAGGAAGATGCTTAGTGACGTGAATATTGAGTGTCTACAATTAATTCACGAGGTCAATGTAGAGCATCACCCAGCAGTCTCAGGAGAAGCCGTTCAGAAGTACAGACGAAGTATCGAAATCAAGGCGGGTTGAGACGGCAACGGTGACGATGATGCAGATGGGTGCCAGCATCACTGCTGTACTGCACTACAATAGACTTTAAGTATAGCAGCACATTGTATTTTCATGAACGTCCTTGGTTCGTTCAGCGACGTGCGTACAGTATGCCAATAGGCCCAGGTTTGGACTTGCGTCGGGAGTGTTGAAATCCTGCGCCGCAGGCGACCCAACGCGACGGCGGGACTGTGAAAAAAAGTGCACACCTGCATAGACTACATCACTCACCACGAAACCCGGGAAGATTGATTTGATTGTTGTTAATGTGGGTAAACACGGCAGGGATCGGGTTGACCCCACAGCCCTGGCAGGGGCGAGTGGCGGTCAATGAACAACAGAAACCAGCCTGTTCGAGGTTACACACAGCAGCCCCGGCATCCAACTTGGTGATTCCACCGCACCATCTGCGAACAAAAAAAACATACCTTCTTCCCTGTGTGTCAAAGAAGTGGGTGCACTGGCTGGCCGATGCTGTTCCTTCCGTCCTCTCTGCGTCCCGATCCCGTTTACCGGGGAACGCTCCAGAGCTTGCCCAGACAGAGAGGGAGGGGAGGAAGGAGAGAGAGGGGGGGGGAGAGAGAGAGAGAGAGAGAGAGCGAGAGAGAGAGCTAGAGGCTCGTCCGGAGGGATGTGGACTTTTTGTGGTGGTCTCCAGGTCGGCGCGACTACAGACAGACGTACACGAGTTTCGGAACGGGGACCGTTCTCCTTGCGGCCTAACGTTCACGGAACTATATCCACACGCTCTCCATATCCACCCCGTCATTAATTATACAAAATGCCGCCTAGGTTGCGCATGTCATTCGCAATGTCCGAGTTGTGGTGAGTCATGGCTTGTCGACTGGGACACGAACAACCGCGCGAGAAGAGAGCCTGGCGTGGCGTATCGGGACGACCGGCATACTACAGTACTGTAATGGGTTGTACATACGTAGTATACATTAGTCAACTGGCAGTTTATATGCGTACGAGTGGACGTATATATATATGCTGAACTTTGGTGCGTAGGGAAAATCATCCGAGTACACGGCGGTGTCAAGGAACTCCTCCATCGGTAAACCAGGCAAGGTGCGGCCTGTAAGTTGCTGTCTACACAATGATTACTAATTTCGTGTAATTAATGTTCGCGGATGCAGGGATCCAAGTCGGGCCTCTAACTTTTCCGAGCGTGTGACATTCTAATTCCCTCGTGGCAGCAGATGGGCGTTCGAGATTGTCGTGTGGTCATGGGAATGCTCTGCCGCCGAAGCTATAAGTAAATAATAGCACTCCCGCAAACCCGGCGAGGCGGCCCATCCAAAAGGCAGTCGAAGTTGACGACAAGCACGTTTCCCTGCGGCCAAAAACACGAAACGTGCTTCATAACACACCGTCAACATCTCCAAACAGCCGCAGGTACAAGCCCCCACGCTCGTGTGCGCTAGACCCGGATGGATGCTTGTGGGTGCACAGTCCGACCAAGTCCCGTCGAGCTTGCTCGGCCCCCCCTCACGCGCACGTGCATGCACCTTCTTCGGCCTTAACGAGGATGGATGCAGCAATGCCGGCCCAGCGTATTTCTCTGCTGTTGCGGAGGTGAGGCGCTTGATACTCCCGAAAAAGCTTACACCCCGTGGTACTTCTGTGCGTATTGCACTTCTTACATAGTAAGCCGATATTTGCCCTCAAAGAAGAAGGTGTGAAACTAGAGAGCACTCGCTGAATCGGCATTGTCGCACGAGTTTTCCTTCCTTACTTCGCTGCGGAAAAACAAACAAGAGGCCCACGAGAACAAAAGAGACCCAACCGTACCCACGCCCATTGCATGCCCCGTCTCCGCTGTTCGGGCTGCAACCAAAATACCAAACCCATCATCGTGTCATTTTGAAAATATACTGTCACGGTTCCCTCGCGCAGGAATTGGGCCTGAAGTATGGTGAGCACTGGAGTCCATATGGAGACCCAGTAGACGGGCAGGGGGGGCGCAACACGCTAGCAACTCTCGTGTCACGTACCATGCTGTTTGTGTACCCCACCCCCCTCGAGTTTGAGAGCCTCTGTGATAGGCGTACTTTGAGAGGAATGCCCCCATATTATTTCGGCATGCCCTTACGCGAGTGTCGGCTTCGTTAGAGCCAAGGTAGCGCCCATCCCGCCAGTATTGGCAACCCTTTTGACGCCAGAGGGTGTATCGCTTCGTATCACGCCCCCTGACGGTCCTTCGCGAGAACGCCGAACATATATTGGCACTCCAGGAGGCCATCCTCGGGCAGATCAGTGCAGTGCACAGCGTTCGTCGCCTGAAACAACAAACGATTCGTGGCAAGGCTATCGTTGGCGGAGGAGGCCACTGGCGGTATATTTCCCGCAGGTATGTTGTTTCAGCTCCCGTTGGCGAGATCGTGCATAAGATGGAAGAAATTGTCATAAGGCCTGTATCTATCGACGCGAGCAGTTAACAGCAACAGCAACAACAACAACAACAACAACAACAATATAACACCTGCTGCACTCCAAGGAGAGCCCTCAGAGTGTCGGGATACAGCGCTCTCGCCACTTCCGGGTCTGCCGGGCCACACGCCTCCCTGAACTCCTCCACGACGTCTTCTCCTTTCTGGAGGGCTCCGGCGAAAAGCCGTAGGCGTTGGAGGCGAAATCGAACACCATTTTGGGGTTGATCGTGCAACGGAATTGCTCGTTGACGATTCCGTTCAAACTTTCCCTTGACTATTTGGAACAAAGCGCGAAATAAGTTTTGTCTCTGGGGTGGTGTTGAGAGTGAAGACATACCCACGCCTCGCTACTGCTGCGGAGAAGGCGTCCATCAAGATAGGATAACTTCTCCTCCTCCTTGAGGCCAAGCATGTTCCCAAAGAAGACAAGCGTGTAGCGCCGCTTTGGGGCCTTGGGTAGATCAATCCGAAAACTCCTTGCATGGTTTGGTCTTATGAATAAAAAGGCTTGGTCTAGGAGAGGGCGAAAGTGTTTCGCCTACACATCGTGGGTCCACCGACAAAAAAACGTTTGCCTATCACGAGCTGACCGAAAAAATTACCTCAAGTCTTAGCGCCACGCAATTTCCGGACTTGAGATGCCGCACAGCGTCGGCATGGTATGACACCACTCCGCGGTACGGCCGCAACAGCTCCTCTGCGCCCACTTCCCCGAGGTGCATCATCTGCATACCCGTGACCTAGGCAAACGTCAAATGGATGAGAAAGGGGAGGGGTGTGGAGGTGGTTGCTGCTAAGTTTGATGCATTCAGTCTGTCTTATTCGAAACGTTTGTCCTTGGGATTGGCGGGGGGGAGGGGTAGCGGAGAGGGGGGGGGGTCGGGTTTCTCTAATAACTTGCATTGTATTTGTTCCCATCGACCAGGCACGCACCGGTTTTGAAGGAGAAGCTAGTTGGTGACGTTTTTGGCCTGTTTTCGTTGGGGGGGGAGGGGGGTTGGGGCGGTTCTGATGCCACAATATACCCTCACGTCCCTCCTAAGCTGGAGCGAACGAAGCATACCGTCGGTGTTCCGTCGACCAGGGATGCATGTATGCGTACTGCAAGCACGGCGGGCAAGAAAATTTATTTCCAACAGAGCGAAGCTCTGTGGGATGGTCATCCAATCAATCGAATTAACAAGCAAAGGGGGAACTGAGATGCAACCTAGCCCATATTGTGAGACGGGTTTGGGCATTTTTCGTTCATTCTTTTTTTGGGGGGGGGGGAAGGGGCGGGAGTGCGTGCTGCAGACAGTGTTGGATGGAAGGGACGATGCCAATCTCAAGTAAC